AATTAATCAAGTTAATAATGATAAATGAGAGGTACCACAGACACAAGGCAGAAATCTGAGGTTTGCACAGTCACAGATGTATTTTACCAAATACATTTGTTTTCGTTTTTTTGCAGAATATTTCCATGTAGAGATTTGACATCGATCCATCCATTGACATTTAATCTCTCCTGCTTAGTGCACTACAGGGTTACAGGTACCTAACACAGCAAAAATGAGCAGGACCACACCCTCGACACCAGTCCATCACAGGACAACACCCTGGACAGGACACCTGTCATTCACAGGACACAGGACAGGGCCACACCCCGGACAGGACACCAGTCCACCACCGGATACAAGACAGGACACACCATGGACAGGACACCAGTCCACCACCGGAAACAAGACAGGACACACCCTGGACAGGACACCAGTCCATCACAGGACACAGGACAGGGCCACACCCTGGACAGGACACCAGTCCATCACAAGACACAAGGCAGGACCACACCCCGGACAGGACACCAGACCATTACAAGCAAGACAATTTAGACATCAAAATACCATGTCTTTGGTCTGCTTTCCTGCCACAGTCCATCCAGTGAACCCAGAACATCCAGAGTCCACACAGAATGTCTCTGGCTGAGGAGTACACACCACCACATCACAGTACCTCCTGAGACCTGACACACTGGAATTGAAATGACCATCACTTCAGAATTACAAAGACTGGTCTACTGAGTTTTAATGCCATTTCCAAATGAAGGAACAGACTGAACAGTCCCAAGCCAGTGGAAGTTATATTCTGGAGCACTTGTGCGGTACATTGAACAGGAGATCCATTAATCTGATGGAATTAGATAGGAAAGCCACAAGACTTTGGAGATGATCCAAAGACTTGATCCAAGGTATTCCCAATAGTCCTCTGTCCAAAGAAAATTATTTTAATATGTATTATCCATATTATAGATTTATTCAGTGTAACAAATTCTTCAATTGTACCTACCTATCTAACATTGAATTTACATCCAAGTAAATTGATCAGACATTTAAGTACATACATACCTGATTAGGTTTCTAGTGAATTATCTAATTTAAGACCCAGAGATTGAACATTTGCTCCAGCAACTCTGCAGCAATTTCGGTGATGGGAAAGCTTCTACAGTCAACCTTGCTCTGTTAACTCTGGCAAGGAGAAAGGGTGATTTGAGCGCCCTCTGCTGGAGAGAAACAGTGCTTCACCTAGGTGATACAACAGCTGAAAAGTCAATGTCTCCTGTGTTCCTCAAAACGGCTAACAAAAGAGAGGTTATAAACAAGAGTAGGCTATTGAGGCCAACTAGCCTGTTTGCTAGTCAGTGGATAAGTGATCAGAGAATCTCATCCAGCTTTTTCTTAAAAGAAGCCAGGGTATATGCTTCAACAGCATGGCTGGGCAGCTTGTTACATGCTCTCACAACCCCTCGTGTGAAGAAGCGTCTTCCATTTTCAATTTCAAATACTCTTCCATGTTGTGTCCAGTTGTGTTCCCTGGTTTGTGTCCCATGATTTATTCTGGAGACTTCCCCTGGGGTTGACTTTGATTTTAAATGCCTGGATCAAATTACGCCTTTAAATGAGTGGCACCAGCCTTCACAGTGCCAGGAGTGAGAGTTCGAGCCACCAGATGTTTGGAGTATTTCTGTCAGTCAGTGCTGCTGCCCCTCTCCCTCAGAATCATAATGCCTTACAGGGCAGTTAGCACCAATTACTGGAGCAGTGCGTCTCTCACTGGCACCCAAGCAGAAATTCTCAGGTTCAAGCTTGTGAGCTCTGAGCCTCTGTGTCTCTGTCATGCCACTCCTGCATCCTTTTAATACTGCTGTGCACAACTGTGGATTTTAAAACTCAGCTTGGAAACCAGGTCCACTGTATTTGTGAATAGCATACCTATATTCTGAACACATTTGCAATCTTACAGAGATGTAAAATACAAAGCTTATTACTTGTCATTTATTTCTGCCTTAAAAGGCAAAGTAGCAGATGGTGTCTTTTGTTAAAGTAGGGGGCTGTGTCAGCGTGCATTGGCTGCAAGAGGAGCAAGTAAAGGTTAATTCTGAGGTGAAAATAAACAAGGAGAAACAATGTTCAATGCTGACAGTGCATTAGTAACCTAATAACAAAGCTCAAACATGTTGAGGTGCGGTCTCCTCCTGCACCCCAAATTAGTGATCTTTCCTAGTCCAGTAACCAGTAGTCTCCAATATACAGAAGATCCCTATCCGGCAGTACAGTGACTCCAGAACCCAGTGCACAGACTCTTCCAAACTGCTGAACCTCTGGATGCCTTCCCGGAGTAGACACGTACAGTACGCAATGAAAAACATCAGCTATTTTTATGGCTTGTGTGTGTGTATATATATATTCTGATGATTGTGCTAAGCCACAGAAGAAATAGCTCAATTTAAGAGGTTAACCAGGTAACTGACCTCCGACATATCTGTGCAGAGTAAATGTGAAACTGAGTTTAAGAATTAACATGACCCACCAACCACTCAATAAAAAAAAAGTCACTAATTGATAGTAATTCTGGGATTTCTTCCTGAGTGACCATTTCATCTTTTAAATTACCTCCAGACTTTCTGCTCTATCTTCATTCTATTCTTGGAGTTTGGATCCCTTGGTAAATCTTGTTGCTATCCAGACAAGATTTGTGTTGCCATAGATACATTTCTGAGCAAATATGAAAAGATCAGGAACAAGCTTCAGGAAATGGACAAAACTGTATGGGAAATACTGTCCACAGCTGAAAATGGTCCATTTTCAGTCAAATTGAGCATAGAAGTCATGTTCATTTTGTCCTCCAACTCCTGCTGCTTTTCACTGGACATCTACTACCGCATGTTAATATACCAATGCAATTTATATCACGTATTTTCTTTCTTGCATCTATTGCTAATCATTCAGTTTTGCTTTGCAAGTTTCCAGCAGTGGGCTAAACACTTGCACTCTGTCTGAGGAGTGCAGCTCTCCCTGTCCCTGCTGGAGCCTCGAATCCGGAGGCTCATGGGCTCCAGCTCTCACAGCGCCACTCCCTAGCCAGGGGACAGCTCTGCCTCAGCAAAGACGAGATCCTCTGCTGCAGCAGAACTTGACACCGTCTAGATTTCAGTGCAGGAACTGAGCACAGTTACAATACATATGTACTGATTTCAGCCAAGTTCCTTCAGGTTACTTCCATCTGTGGTGGAACCCATCTGTCACGAAGGCGTTCTTTCCGGACCCTATGCAGACGACACAATCCGGGGTAGAGCGAGGAAAACACAGGGAAAAGGGCATGCAGGGATCAGGAATGAAAACAGGGGGCGTGTCCATGGTGCGCTGGTGTTTGGGGGAGGTGTGGCCAAGGCAAACAGTCCAAAACTGAGTCCAATGGGGAATCTGAGGAAAGGCAAAATCCAGAACCAGGCAGTCCATCCAAGACAAACAGAATTAAAACTGGAACCGGTTAGGAACTGGCAGGAACAGGAACTTTAAAACCTTGACGGGACCAGGTGCTTCCAGGTCCCGGACTCGCCTGGTACAAAAACCAATACAGAGCCCGGAACAGAGTGAGCGTCCGGCCTTTATAGGACGGGGGCAGGAACCAGAGGCAGGTGCAGGGAATGAGTACTGAACAAGGAAGGGCTTGAGCGTCCTTGAGAGGAGGGGTTTACAATTGTGACACCATCTTTCCATATCAAAATGATTGCAACATAATTAAAAAGATCATGCCTGGAACTAAAGGAAAAAATTAAGGAAAATGCTATATGATTATATGTTCTTAAAAATGAAGTATGCGACCTTAAGGAAACTACTGCTGCTGTATTTTAGCATGGATGACTCTGTGCGACTACATCTGTGTGCACTTAAGAACAAACCCCCATCTGAAACCTTCCTCTTTAGCACAGTCTCAAATTTATGTAGTTTTCACAATGAGCAATGTTCCACTGCTTTCACTTAACGAAAGAAATAAAGATCTCCTGTTTTTCTTTTAGAAACGGCTACCATTTAAAAAAAAATAATGTAAAAGGTTCTACCATGTATATAAGTCACTTAGTGATTCGCTTCTCTAGGTTTAATTCCATTTAGGAAAAAAAATGTTCCTTTGTACAACACTTAGTAAATTTTGGCAGAGATTTCTTTTTACGGGCCAATTCAAATGTAAACCTGTAGATTAAAACTTGAATAACTAAAGTAAAGTTTCCAAAAAGTAAAAAGATTAACTAAGCAGTATAATTGTAAAGCAGCAGTAAATCCAAGGTCTGACTGGTATCTTTTCTATGCAATGAGGAAAAATAAGAAGCTCTTGCAAGCCAGTAATGAACATTTTCATTTCATATGGCCACAGATTAAGACCTAACCAAGGCTAGTCAGCCTGAGCCCATTCCAGTTCGATCCATTGCACTTCGATACAACCAGACCCTTAATTGCTAAATTGATCATCCTAATAGTCAATTAAATACTAACTGTGCTGGTTCCAGCAAAAAGGCGTGATGGTTTGAATCAGGGTGGCCGTAGGCTGAGTAACACTGCTCTGAAGAGAGGTGACGAGAAGAGTCCAGACGACTCTTCAGAGTCCTCACCTGTGCTTTGACTCCATCCGTTTTCCTCAGTCACTGCCATACAGTCTGCATTCAACAAATACTTTTGCAAATAGGCTGTTCGGGTTTTCTTTTTGTAAGAAAAAAAAATACCTGGCAGTTCAAAAACTGTGAACATCAGTTAAATTTTCAAAGGTAACCCAAAGTCACAGCCAAGGAGCTCAGAACAGTTTCAAGCTCTGAGGATGTTTCAATACAAAAAAAATCGTGTGGTTATGAGTTAAATTAAGAGCCTAGGAGCACAGCTGGCATAATCTTTTTTTTAAAAAAAAAACCAATGCATTGGCCAACTGAGACCCTCAAAAGCAAACCTCAAGAACCACAAAAAACAGAAAAATCTGCATGCAGTCTGAAAGTTAATAAAATTGGATACTGATGTCCCCTTGTCATGAATATAAAATGGCCAGCCCTAGAGCTCAGAGCTTACAGTAAAGGACAGCACGGGAACTGGAGAGCTTCAAACAAGACAACACCTGCTTAGGACCTGGGCACAAAATGCTTCATTTGTTGTCTTTAGCCAATAATTGGTTCAATGAAGTGGCTTAGACCTCATTTGCTACGAAACCCGAACGAACGAACGAACACGGGACTCCAGGACTGGGGCTTCCCCGGCAGTCGGCTGGCAGCGTGCGCGCCTTCCTTCTCCGGAGTGAAGAGGCATCTTGATTAGCCCAGCAGCGGGCAATCAGCCTGCCACACAGCCGCACGGGGTCTGACCCGGCGTTAGGACCCAGGGGAGCAGCTGGTGAGCAAGGGCAGTTTGCTTTTGGAGAGCCGGAAAAAAATTTCTGTTTTGTGAGAAAGACGGTTGGAGCGGAGGCAGGCAGGCAGTCAGTCTCACCTGGTGGTGAATGACAGTACAACAAGACGGGGGAAAATCTCTGCGCCGCCAGAATTATCCACCTTCAACTCTCTCGGTATATTCTTCATGGGAGGAGAGAGTCCTTCCAGACTTTTATCGACACAACTACAGAATCCCACTTCATTGCCGAGGTAGTGCACAGGCGAGGGTTCTGCTCAGCAAGAGAAGCGAATTGATCATTGGCTTTCCCTGCAACTGATCAGAAATTGAAATGTTCTAATATATTAATGATCAGGATTCGGAAAGGCAGATATAACCGGCACCGGTATTCAGCCTCGACACATTTTTCTTAAATTTGCCGCATGAAGCTGTCCAAGACACTGGGTTTTCAGAGGATGCAGCAATTTGCTGGTCGCTAGCTCTTATATTTGCAGGAGACGACATGATCTCACATCGATGGAATTTGCTGGTTTAATTAGGCTGGCAAGCGATCTGGTTAACGGAGAGAACACCTGCCCATTCATAATTAAGAAGTTCAAGTGAATTGTTTTGGTTATTATTTTTAACCAGTGGAGGCGTGATCCGTGGGAATGACACTGAGAAAGGCTGCCGAGGGCTGGAGGACTGGGCTGAGTTCGGGTCGGAAACTACAAGTCTAGATTTTGCAACTTACTTACTTTATAATTCAATCTCCTCTTAATGGACCGATCAACATCCTTGGACATCGAAGCTCTGAAGGTAGGTACCGAAGACACTGAGTCTGAAATCGGGAAATGCACAGCAGAGCGTACTGTAAAGACAGTACAGTACATCGTATACATAGTTACAAACAGTAGTCTACATACAGTATATCGTCTACGTGATTCGAGTGGGACTGCTGTCAGTTCCTAGTAGTTCTATCCTGTACGGGATGCAAACGATTACTGTGTTTTAGTCGAATAATGTGAGTGTTTTGGCTGTAGAACAGGATTGTATCAAACTTGGTTGGGATCCCGTTGAATACAACGTGTTCCTTTAATCTGCAACCATTTAAAACATTAAAAGGCGTTGCACAGTTGTTTATTTTTTTCTGAAGTTGGTCGATACCGCTGTCAAATGTGTGCTTGCGCAGCGCTGATCTTTTTTTCCAAAACAATGCCTAAAAAAAATGGTGATTGTCGTGTGTTGGGGGGTTTTCTGACCAAACGTGTTCTTTTCTTTTTTGCTAAAATAACCCGTTCATTAGTAATAGCAAATAAGCACTAATCAATAGTACAAGTACATACAGTAGTAAATACACAAGGTCGAAACAGAAAAGAAAGCAGGTCTTTTTTCAAGACCTACAGAGCATTGCTGTCAGGGTTAATTAAAAATACATAGAACGTTGCAAGTTTAAGTGCCGCTAATGAGGATATTAAGGATTGGTTTTGCTATTCCACGCACGGAATCCTTATGAAACAGATCAGTGGTGATGGAGAGCGCTCGTCCCGCGGTTTCTACAGATCCGCCGTGCCTTTGATCCCACTTCTCTTCCTTCTCAAATGTATATTGCATGCAGAATTTGCCTCCCAACTTCGACCGAAACAAGCTGTCTGGCCCCCCCTTTTTTAGCAGAGATAATGCGCTTTTTGTATGTTTTTTTTATGCTTACCTTTTCCTGACAAAATAGTATACAAATATCTGGTCGACGCATTAACCTTTTCGTTAACAAATAAGCACATATTGACTTGGGGTATGCCTTACTTTGGTTTAGGATGGATTTAATGCCTTCATTGTATAAATCTTCATTTTGTATCGGGTTGCTCGGAAAAAAAAAGGATATTGGAACAATGCCCGGTTTAAAGTTGTTTCATCACAGACGAACTAAGAGGTTTTTCGCTGTTCTCTACAGCTGGAAGTCAATTAAACTTAGACTTTGGGTGTAGTCTATTAATATCCACTCATCTTCGGAGGCATTTTAAATTCGAAGCTAACAGAATATGAATTCCACTCCATTAATTGTGCCGTTGTCTATTAAAGTACATCTCGGTCTTGATACAATGCATACAAAAGACTTGTACCCTCTAAAGTCGATTACGGAACATACACATTACGTGCTTATTGCAATATATTTAGTTATGGTTTAATACATTTACTATATATTTTCGTTTTAATTGCATTATTAGAAGCCATATTATACAGCAAAGGAGAAGTCAGATGCCTTGGTTCCTCGACATCAGTGATTTATTTAAAGCTGGTGGCTGAAAAGTTACGTCATTTTAATAACCGTTAAAGGACTTGGAATATTTTTAGCTTTTCTGTCAACACTGTTTAAAACATGGTGCTATAAGTAAAAATATTTTTTTGCACTCTGATACCAGTGGCTTTGCAGTATTTAGTATTTTATCACGGTAGAAATTTGATGATAAAATATCTAACTTTAAAAAAAATCACAAATTACATTGCAGAAATTAATATCGAATACCACGCAGGTGATGGTGACAATAATAAAGGAATTGCAAAGATTTTGTCTTTATCCGTTGAATATGAGAGACGAACAAAGTGGTTATGCTACAGCTAAACAACACAAAACCTATCTGAAGCAAGGCTTCTTCGTGAAGTGACACCACGACTGAAAACTGGACCTTCACCACAGACGGTGCGGTGCTTCACCTCAGTCTTGCGTTTTTCTGGATTTATTTCTGTCGCTGTTAAAATAAGGATATATCGCTGTTTATGATCTTGTAAAACTTCTAACGTTGTCGACAGTTTTACCTATTCGCCCCAGATCTCGTCCGGCTGGCTTGTCACAGGTATTGGTAGGCACGGTGTTTGCTGAGAGGAATAGAATTGTTATTGAGAAGCTCCGCCTGAGATTTGATACACGAACATCTGATTGATTACAAAGACACAATCCTCGGTGTGCATATTTTTCAAACATACAGTATATGCAAAGAGGAAAAGACCTAACAGCTTGATGCAATGTATTTACTAATTTATATACAGTACCAGATATGTTCAATGTGAATAAAAAGGAAAATATTCATGTATCTACAGGTGGGATGTGTCTTTTGGACCAGTCTGCTTTATTAAGTTAAAGGTTCACTTTCCATGGGCAACATCCGAAAACACAGCAACAGCATTAATGAAAGTAAAGTACCAGCACATTTTAGCTAGAGCCACCATTTTAATTGCACCTGGTAGGCAAATGGTTTATTGGGATTGGAAACAAAATACAGCACATACGCCTTGATACTCTCTCTATAGGTCACACAGACGTGCATGTTAAAGATGAAACAATTTCTGTATCATCTCGAAATCCTCACATCTCTTTTCCCATTAGAGCAGTGAAACTAGGTATTAGCAACATGCCAAGTCTGTAATTACATAATTCCTCAGGTGGTAAAAAAACATGCCCTTCATACACCGTTCATTAAGCACTTAATAGAATACTTATAAAAGCTGGTGATACATTTATTTTAGAAATTAATTTCCTTTATTCTGGAAAGACAGCCAGTATGCAAAATGCAACATATGACAAATGTTGGCTGGGATTTCTGGACCACAGCTGAGTTCATACTTTAGGAGAAGCTGAGAATGGCTTCCGTATGAGAAGACACATCACCAGCTGCAGGAATTTCCATGAGAGCTTTGAGCCACACATTCTGTAATTGAATCTGTAAAACAATTCAAACAATAGCCACTGCAAATCTATCCTAGAAAGGTACAGTACAATAGAACAATTACTATTCACTTACAGTACCACTTTCATAAGACATGTAAACCAGCTGTTAATGAGTTACCAAAGTTATAGGCAGTATTACTGTACATGCTCCTAAGCCCAGGTTAGCCTAAGGAGAATGCTTTGAATGTTTTTCTCATCAAAGACATTGAATGCCACTGCACTAACCATTCAAATTTAAAATCCCGAGCACCACCATCAAATTTATTAAGAGTGATCAGCTTTTTCTTACTGAGCTTATGATCCATTTTTCATCTGGTCCGATACCTGATCCTGCAAGGACTTGTGACAGCCATGTGGCACTGTTTCAGTGCAAGCTGTAAAAAACAAGATGTTACTGTATGTATCTGTTTTTCATTTTCACAGGAGGCTTTTCCTTACAATTTTATTTTTTTTCTCTGGAGTAGTTCATTGCCACATGCACTTGTGGATCCAGGGCTATCCTGAAACGTCTGTGTTATAACTTACTCAATTGGCATTTGGATAATGTCTTCCACAAGAGCATCTGGGTGTGGGTGTTGGCTTGGCCAGAGGTGCAAGCAGCAGCAGCAAAGGCTGAGAGAGGTAACCAGCAGTAAAGTTTGAGCAAAGATAAACTGATGCCTGCTGGCGTGTTTTTGTGATCCTTCTTTTTTTGAATGAAATCACAATCAAAATTCAACCCTTGTTTTCTTTCTTGACTGGGACGTTGTTATTGACCCTGAACGATGGGGGTCTAAAAGTAGAGCTTTCTTGGTGCAGGAATATCTGGTGTGGGAGAGGCAGTGTGCGGTTGAGTACTTCAGCATAAATTGAACCCTCTTGGCAGAGACTGTAAAGTCATATCGGTGTTATCTGTTCATCTTAAAACCACTTACAGCGCTCTCCCTGATCTAAAAAACTGTCATGATTTTACCAGAGATCCTGCTTTTGCACTGCTGCTCAATTAAATGCGTGCTCACTGGCTTACAGATGTCCTAAGTGTTACTAGTACTCTTTATTAAACCAGTATACATAGTGGCCCTGAAACATTTAGTTCAAAATCTTACTGTGTTCTGATCTCATGACTTATCTCATAAGTTGGATGAAGTCTTTCAAGAACTCATGTGCTTAGAGTGATATCTGTTGCATAGAGAGAGAAATTTATGATAGCGGTCATCTAGGCTCTCAGTGAGAACAGTGGTGTGCATGTGGCACATTTCACATGTAAAGGTTTATTCCCTGCTGAAAAGAGAAGAAAAGAAACACAACGTTTCGGCTGTGGTGCCTTCTTCAAGTGTAAGAAAGAGAGGACTCCTCAAGAGAAGAGATGGCGGCTCCACAGCTGAAACGTTGTTTCTTTTCTTCACTTTTCAGCAGGAATAAACCTTTACTTGTTCCTTTGCAGCCTACACATGCTGACGCAGCTGCCTACTTGAAACGTGTCTCATACCTTACGTTAGAGGACATCTCAAATCCCTGTGTAATATTGATCTGTCCAGCAGCTATGTCATACTCATTCTATACAATGATGTGCCATGGTGAGGTTCTAAGGTGTATTATGATTAAAACAAGTTCAGATACATTTACAATGACCCCAATGTAACTGAGTAGTTACTGCAGTCTGACTTAATTAATATTTGCACAGACTGTTATCTGTTAAGGTCCATGTGATCTCCTTTCATTTATGCTCCACAGTAAAACACCAAATACATAATGGGTTAAAATATTTTATTGAAGAATTTCAAAACAACAGTTGACCTGCGAGTACAGAGACCCCAGTTCACCGCCCTGTAAGGTATAGGGTTCTGTAAGGCTCTCAGATTACTTCTTAGTACATTTTCCAATTCATTAGCTCTGGGAGCCCAGAGGGTACTCGGATCACAATGTGTAGTTTCTTACGCTACAATAATAAACATGATTAATACATGTTTGCCGAGGAGCTGTCATGTAGAACGTGTCTTTGGATAGCCCGAAGCGAGTGTTTGAACTGAGGCGGTTGCACAGTGTGCGTTGGTTAAAGGGGGGGTTTAGACCAGAAGCTGGGAGAAGTTCACTTCTAAGATTTGATCATGGATTT